CTTAATGTGAAAGACCTTTTGTTTGTTAGTTTGGTAGGCCTAACTAACTTCCATGTTATGTCAGATTCTCCAGCTCTCACTTCCTTCTGGTGACTGAAAATCGTTACTTAGTGATGCCTGTGTAATTTAAACACATCAAAAACGCCAAATCATGGTTAGACAGTTACATTCTTGAACATTCTGGACTTGAATATCTGAACTTATGTGACGCGTTTTCCTCAATTTTTTTGTGCTTTCTTTGAAGCTTGTAAATATGTGAAGCTCGGTAATGGCTTTAAAGTCTGTCGAACCGTTCAGGGAATGTACCTACTGCTCTGATACGTCTGTTTTCGTCCTCATTATCTACACCTTGTGCCACTATTGTTCATGTTGGGGTTTGTAGACACAGGAAACGCTAACTACTATTTTCAGCTGCGATTCGAGTTTAATTTCGCCTTTTCGTCACTTAAATCTTCCCTGAGTGGTAAGACCATAACCTTGAGAACTTTCATATCCTAGCCACCTGAATGAACGTGTATTTGTCTGAAACTGCTTTAGGATTCAATCGGACAAGACCTGTAGCCGTGCTACAAATTATTTGCTTCCAATGCTTAAATCATCGTTGGTTTTTTTAGACTTTAGTCTTGTAATGCGCTTAAAAGCCTCCCTAGGGTAACGTCTTCTACTCAGTCTTTAAAAAATGGCGGAACAAGCAATATATCAATATGATATCTTTGATACTTAACATAAACTTACTCAAAAGGTATCTGATGTGCAGTGTCCGGTGGTATTTGTGAATCCGTAGCGGGTTTCACGCTATTTGTCAGGAATTTTGGGGTTACTTCTGTCTCTGATGTCTGTATCGTGGAAACACCACCATTCTGCTTCTAAGGAAATGGGCGTGCACTTTTCATTGATACCCACATTATCTGGAAATGAGTTCTGCACTATGAATCTAAAATGGGTTTTGTTGTCGACGGAAGGATTACGGGTCAATTGAAGGCGAGAAAGGACTTCATTTGGTGTCTATGCTATGACGCCTTTGATAGGGTATTGTAAGTCTGTTCATCATAAGCAGCTTGTTGATTGGGTCATCCGATCCTCGAGTTCTGGCTTTCAGGTTACCTTCACTCACTACGGGCACAAGTTAGCAGCATTTAGCCCGTTTTTCGAAGGGAATTTCATATTTCAATCTACAGTTATTGTCTCTTTCTGGGGCTCCGTTATCTGCGGGTATTCGTTGCTTGCTGCATGTAGTTTTGGATGGGAATTTAATCGGTACAAGGTTCCTTAAGCATATCAAGCGGGCATTCTTTAGTGCCCAATCAATGTCTCAACTCCCCAAATTCCCTATACACCTACTGGAGGGCTGAAAGAATAGCAGTTTATGGAATACGACCTCTAATAATACCAGTTCCAATTCATCTACCTAAAGTAAAGTGCTAGTAGAATATTGGAACACCATCTTCATAGCTTTAGTTGTAGAGTTGTTCCTGCTCGTTAGCACCGGTCGCTTCGACGCCTAATAACAGTTGCCGATCTCGTGGAAGTTGAAAGAAAGTGCTCAAGCACTATTGTCATGCCACTTGCTATTTTCGTGTTCATGCAGGTGAAGGAGCAACACATGCAGAGGTGCGTCTCCTTCCTAACGGATGAATTAAAAGTGTGCGGGCACGAGGAAGCCATGGAGCGCGTATTTTTTGTCTCCGCCCGCGAGGTTCTCACCATTCGAGCTAAGTCTCTCAACGGCGGCACTCCTCCAGGATCTGCCCCCAATATTGGCTCTCCCTCCACTGGTGGTATGTCCTTTCTTCACCAGTTACTCGGAAGAATTGATCGCCTCTGCATCTCTCTACTTAGGGTGTGCAGCTTTCAACCTTTCCTGGCAATTACCAGAATAACTTAACTTTTCCATTAGTAACCGGTCCATTGCACTTTGCTAGCGCTACCGTTATTCTTTGACTTACTCATGTTTTCGTTTTCCGTTAGTCGTATTTGCTATTGACTGTCAATCCAGTTATTTTTCGCATCTAGCAATCGCTTAATCTTTTCTGAAATGTCGATAAAATTATTTGTATTGAGCTGTACCGTCAAGCAGTCATGAGATTTGAAGTGGGATGTCACTAGTCTCAAAGCCTTCTTCTCATTAGTTTCGTTTGCATTGTCGTTGCTCTTCCTTGCGGCCTTGGGAAAACAAAATCGCATTGATTTTATGCAATAATAGGGAGGGATCAACACTCATTAGTCAGTTTCGTTAGCAGATCTGCTTCCCGCCTCATCAATTTAACTTTTTGGTTCTTCCATAAAGTGGTTTTCATTTCCATAGTTGTTTTGGTACTTCGAAAGCTGTTTGCATAAACCTCACTGTCCTTGCTAAACATGTGATATTTGTTTGCCTTTTCGAAGTCTAGTGAACGTTGTGTGTTGATAAACTCAGACTGCAAACCATGTTTGTTCGAAAATTTCCCTGATGAATGAACCGTGGATCCGAATTCAAGCAGGCCTTTTTTCACTGCACTCCAAGGAGAACATTGTCCCTCTTGTACACCTGGCTGATGTGCATTATGGTACTGGAAGGATTTGAGCTTATTACATCCAAACACCATCTCACTTGTCTTGCTATGCGTTCCTACTATTCTGCTAACCAAACACCTTCACTATTTCTGTAGTTTTAATCTCAAGATTTTTTGTGTTCTATAGGCTATCCACTGGCTGATGGATGGCAGGCTCGTTTAATGGAATTCTCCACTTTTGAGAAAGTTTTTGAGGTAGTTCCCTTGTCTATTCACATTTCATCTAGCAATTCCTTTGTTTATGCGAAAAATTTGTTTAATCTACTTTGCCATGTCTCACCAAGCTGAAGTCCCATCCTTCGTATTGCTAAGATCACTTTTTTTGAAGAGATGAATACTTTTTTGAATATGATTCTCGATATTGGAGTGTTCGGTTTGAATGTTCGGAGATGTCGTCCCTTCGATGACTCATTTACCGTTAGCATTGGATACCGTTTCTACCGCAGATGCACATTTTTTAAGCTCTAGATGAAACAGATCATTACTGAGATCCGTCGAAAATTCCCATGAGCTTAAGGAATAGTGACCGGAAAACGAATTCTTTTCAAGGTGCTAGATGCTAACATCCCGTTTACCATATATTAGGTCGAAAATGCTTCCTTGTACATGGATGCCTACTGCGAACTCTGCAGAGATGTTGGGACCAATTAAACAAAATATTCTCATTTAGAGTCTAGAGAAAATAGGTTTTAATGACTGGAAGTCCGATTTGTTTTGTTTGATTTTTACTAAAGGCCGTCTATCTGCTATCTGACTTGGACTTGATGAAATCCAAGTCATCCTCATATAAACTTAGGACCATAACGCTTAGCGACACTATTTGCGATAGGAACATATGCAGCCAATTTCAGTAAAGTGTCTTCATGTTTTTCTCCTTGGTACCTCAGTAACCCTCTAGTTGAAACCCTAGTCCATCTGCGGTTTTTTTGCTCCTTATTTATCCTTGCAAAGCAATCCAATGACTGATCGTAACTGGAACTTTTCTTATGCGAAATGTATCTT